CCCTATGAAAATGTTCACAATTAAATTATTATTTCCAAAGTAAAATTATGTCGAAAAATGTATTTTAATGTATTATATTAATCTATTCAAAGTTTCAAAAACGGATTTTTAATTTTTAATAATTTCATCTTGGAACATCTAGATGTATTCGGCTGTACAAGTTTATCTGTTCAATTACAAGTAGAGTTAACGAAAATAAAAGTCAATAAGGGTTCTTACTTTTATTTCAGCTTTAACCGAAGGTAGTTACATTTTAGAACCCTCTTTCATGATAGGGATTTTCGAAAAAATAAAAAAATACTATGTCAATTAGTCTTTAACAAAGAAATGAAACTAAGTAAGAAAACTCTAACACTTAAACTAAAATAAACTTATTTTTCTCTTTTTAAATCTCATTAAAACAATGATAGTGTATTTACTATATAAAATGTTCCGATGTTATAGAATTTAAAAATATATGGACATTTAATTGTTATAGTTACGATTGCCTTTTGTGTTTGTTAAATCAGAACTAAGTTATTAAAAAGTTATTGTTAACATAAATATTTCAGTTTGTACATTTCTACTGTTTGTAGTAGTACATAATATTTTAAAAGCTACTTTTCAGAAGGGCACATAAAATTAATGATCATCGATCATGTTTAAATATTATTAGAAAATTGAGGTATTAAGATAAATTTGTTTTCAGCACTAGAATGATGTATAAAAAATAAAACTTGTATTTAATGTCCAACGAATTTATTCTTACTGATTATTCTTTATTATACTTTTGTATAAAATATTATTCAAAATATTATAAATAGAGAAATTTGGTTGGAAATAGAGTTCAATTGAACGATTAAATTAAACATCAAGTATTTCATGATAATTTCATCGTTCTAAGTGTATTAGTACTTATGTGTATTATAATATAGTGTGTACGTTTCTCATCTATTGTAATTATCTTATATTTCACATTTGGGTATTTCCTATATCACTATAAAGTATCGAGAGATGTACAGAAAAGAGCATTATAAAATACCAATAAGAGATAAAAATAGGGGTTTTTTTTTTAAAAAAACATTTTCCACCAAGAAATACTCAAAACACATTATATGCTCAAAATACGATGCTTCAAATAAATAATGACCATAAAAACAAATTTTTCTAAACTTCAATAAAAAATATTTATCAAATAAATTATTTTATGATTTTCTTATAATGATAAAATAATCTTGATCTTATAATATTTCCACTTGTATTTAAAGTGAAAGCTTATTATAACTCATTAACAGGGTTCGAATTTAATAGCATCAAAAATACTAAAATATGCACTATAATATGACCAAAAAAAAACCTTAAAATATGCTCTATAAATATGCCCTAAAAACAACAAAAATAGCAAAAGAAAAAAAATGTAAGTCAAAATTTGATTGAATTTATTATATTATTTTATGAGGAAATAAATTAATAAAAAAACTAAAATTACCATTTTCTGTTAATAATTTCAAAAAACTTATATGTGGTACGTCTTGTTGTATGTATACCTGTTTTACCTTAAATTATGACATAGTTTGTACCTATGTAACTGTTTCTCCGTTTTTAACTGTTGATTAACGTTAAACATTTTGTCACTATTAACTTTACATTCACACAATTTGCAGCATAAAATCATGTATATTAGCAAAAAATATCGCTAAAACTTCAAAAATAGCACTTAAAATCTATAATACTTCAAATATGCAAAAATTAGCAAAATTAAATTTCTTATTTGGAGTCCCTGGTTAATAACACAAATGAATAGCTCACTCTGTTATCTTTATCTTTATCCTATAATAAGTAGCAATGCTATAAAATCTGAACCCTGTTCATTAATATTATTTATATTAATGGTTAGAAATAAATTTAATTAGTATTATTTGATTGGCCATAGGTACAATCATCGGTTTTATATTCATTGTATAGATTTAGTAGATTTTAACATGGAAGTAAAATGAATAAGAAATAATTTTTATGTTAAAAAAATCAATTTACAGTCTAAAATATATTGACTATTTTCGTCAAATATTTCAATGCATTGTTTACATGTTTACATGGATAGAACAAGAGTAATACATATATACACCAGTTACTATATGCGAACGAATCGAAAGTACTTGAATAAAACTATGGATCTGATGAAATTGTGTAGTAGCTAATACATTTTTAATAATTTCTTTTTTTTCATTATTATTCTCTGAGTTCATAGTGCTCTGAACAATTGTTTTATCTTACTCATTAAATTATTGATATTAAATTCAGGCTGCGAAGATCAGTGTGCGGTTAGGGGTTTGTATGTTTTTTCCGTTGAATCATTTTAACCAAGAAAGAAAAAAAAAACAATAAAAGTCAAATCCCGGTTTCATTTCGGTTGGATGGCGCAGGCTACAGATTAAGGGACGGAATAAAATTATAATATAAATTTGTCTGGGTAAGCATAAAAGATAAAAACGAGACGAAACGGCTCAGAGTTGGAAAAAAGTGATTTTGGATGTATAAACGAGAATATGACGTTTTAGTTATCATTGAGGAAATACGAGTTTAATGAAATTCAAATATAAACATTTGAAAATGAAACTATTATAGTATGGGATTTATTTATTAATATCATCCTGAAGTCATTTTACCGATTTCTTTAAATATATATACATGTTTGTAAATAGTTAATTGATTTAATGTATTACAATATGTTATGAATTCGATTAAGACAAAGCAATTTAAATAACGTATTTCAATTAGCGAATATTATCTTAAATTTTAATTTAAAATTATTAATATTGGACCATATGAGTATTGTTTATTTTCAAACAATTTAAGCCACTTTTTATGTTTCATTTTATTTTATCAGTTTAAGATTTACATTTAACTTTATCAAACTATATTTAGTTACCATAATCGTTGAATAATACGATTCTTTGAGACCACAATTATTTACTAACCAATTGTATCTTATGTGACGTCTGAAAAAAAGAAAAGATTAATTCTCAGCTCATTGTATTTCTGTATATATATTTTTTAATAATGAAACGTACTTTAAAATAAATTTGATCTAAAGAATGAAAAAAAAAGAAGTATATAAATGAAATTTGAACTGTAGACACGAACATTTTGAAAACATTTTTAATTTTAAATTAATTTAAAATGTGTAACGTTTATTTTACTAATTATATCTACGAGTATGATCAATATATATTTTGCTTTAATGTTTGTGATTATTAGTTATAAACTTTTTACATTTTTTCACATTCACAAACTGCAATGAATTATTTGGTTGACTGAATATTTTGATATGGATTAAATAAAATAAATTATTTGTGACCTATAAATGAATCATTATTTCATATGAATTTGAATTTAATTGTAAATATTTGTTATTTAAAAATGAACATTCTTAAAATTATTTAAAATTATTTTTATTTTTATGTAAATGTACAAATATTTTAATATATTAATAAGGATTATAAATAATTTGACTTATATTTATAAATTTTCAATGACAAATTATCTAAATATGCGTTGAAAATTACCTTTAATAATTATAGTTATAGAACAATTTTATACAAAATAATAATATTTCATAATATGAAATATAAAAATATAATTTTAATTAAAATAGTAGGGTTCTAATAGAATTTTTAATATTTAAATTCATTCTAGAAGAATAAATTATCATTTTATATTTAAATAATATAAAATAATAAAATTCTTGTGATTAAAAAATAAAATATTGTGCATTGAAATTGTAAAATAATCTTTGTATAAGTATATTACTTCATCAAAATGTATTATTCATTTTCTGCGAAACAGGTATAGGTTTTAAAAAAAAATTGCCAATGAAATATTAATTACAATGTGTTCATCAAAAATATTACTTTTAAGAATCATTTCTTTCTGATATCTAGTTTGAATATCTTCTTTTGAAGATTGAAGTTTATGACTTCTAGATGAGTTTTTAGTATTTAAATGAAGTGGACCGCGAAATATATTCAAGTGATTCCTATTGAATAATGTAAACAACATAATTGTGTAAATTAAAACTAATATTTTTTATATTTTATTTATTTATTGTATAACGTCAAAATTTTTTGCTAATTTATGTTTGTAATTTATTATATCATAGTTTATGAATAAATTAATTGCCAACAGCAAATTTTTGTATTCGTTGTACAGAATTAATTTGCGATCATGTAACTGTAAATTTTTCCCATATTATAATAGTTTTACTACAATTATAAATATGTACATAAATGTTTGTCCGAAAGTGTAATGACGTTTTGTATTATTTTTACTTTTTACGATTAATTTGATGTACAATCAATTAGGTATTCGATTTTTCCTAAATGTGGAAAAACCTGCGGGTAAAATATATGTTGCCGGGTAGACGAGTGGAATTGGTCAAAACTATGCGCCGATTATCTCGGGGAAATCTTGGACGGAAAAATAATTCACTAAAAACCTAAATTCAGTCTTTACATTCTTTAAAATTTAACTTTCAACGTATTATGTTATAACACATCGATTAACAACGCGTTGCAACATGTTGAAAATAAATCGGATTTCTAAAATGCCTACAAAAAATAATATTAATAACTGTCTCGCAAAATTAACGGTTGAGATCCTATTCCTATGTAATTTGTCGTATCACAGCAGCACTAAGAGTTCGTATCATATGAAAAGTAATAAGTAACGTAATATAATACGAAATAGTTCTTATAAAAGAACGTAATAAAAGATTTCAAAACGTAAGTCAACCACTGATTTATTTCTATAGTAAAATGTCTACATCATTTTTTTGATCAGGTTTTTTTAATTTTTTTTTATCGAATTTATATGAAAAATGAACAAAATATCTATTTTCACGAACAACCACGGAGGTTTGTGCGTGTGCGAGTACCTGATTTTATTTTTTAGTTCTCGTTATTCGTCCAAAGGAGCGTGTGCGATGGGATGTGGGCGTCTAACACACCACGAATTGAGTCCTGCGCGGTCGTGCCGCACACCAATCACGTTGTCAGCACGTTGGCCAGTTGGCTTCGAACTCGCGAACCCAGACTGTATCGCGTTGCTCGTGCATTTTTCCCGTTCCGAAATATTTCGATTCCGAATGTTATTGCGAAGACGAAATTAAATTATGACAATGATAAACTGACGACTTACGAAACCGAATGCAAATATTGTCATCTCGCAGTGACGATAATAAAATGATTATAAACGTCTGTAGGTAATTCGTTTTTACGAAACAGGTACGTCGGGGAAAGAAAAATTATTATTCTTATTTCGTAGGAGATGTGTGATTCGATCACATCGCAAAACGTAATCTCATAGTTCAAGTCGTGAGAACTGAGATGGACGTTTTACGTAAAAAAGCTATTAGCTTTCTCAATAGTTGGTTTCAATAAAATCATTTTATTTAAAAGTCACAACTGAAATCACACAAGTTCATGATATTCGTTGTTGTACATATATATTTAATATAATACGATCAATTCAGTGAACGGTGTTTAATCTTAATACAATTCAAAAAATTAAATTAAGAAATAAATATATTTTATTCATATATTAATATATTAATTGTTCTTCCTTATTCAACATTTTCTAATTACTTTTATTTTTGTATTTCGTATATCATTATCATTAATTTTATTACTGTATATTATTAATTCTATTCTATGTATCATATGCTAGTCAAATATTTCTATTATTCGACAATTCAATTAAAAATTATATGTATTTTTAGTTAAATAACTGTGTTAGTGTATTATCATTTTACACGTTTACATTTTTTCACGAGTCACCTTTTATTTTCAAATTTTTATTTTTTAGAATCGATCAATTTGAATCAGTCATGATTTCGAATTCCATCAAATCACTAGTATTTCATTTTGGTCTGGTATTGGCGTTCGGAAATTGGGGTGAGTATACAATATAAAAATGTCAATAAATATAATTAGTTTATAAAATGCGTTAAAAATATATTAAATGTAAATTACTACTTTTAATTTAAATATAATAATGTATACCACATAAAAGTAAATAGTGTATATATACAGAGGGTCGAGTAGGTGAATTAAGTTATACTTGAATTTTAGCTTGTGAGAATAGTTTGATGTTACTAATAGTTCGCGAACTTTAGACAAATATAATAATAGACAACGCTGTACATTGTCTTCTCGAACATATTTTTTTTCTAACATACTTTTAAGAACCTAGTGCATTGAAAATAATATAAGTAAATATAACTTTTTTTTTTTTACTTAAACTAAATTTTTAAAACGTAGTAAGTATATTAACATTTTTCAGCTTCAAATCGGAAATTTGTCGTATTATGTTCTAAAAATACTTTGCCTGACTAGAAAGTTTAAACTGTAATTTGATAAGTTACCTCTTTCGAATCCAGTCTATCAGGTTAGTGTGAAGGGATCCCTAAAGGATAGGAATACCTTAGCAACAACTTTATGGTGTCAGGAATTTCGATTTTAAACGTGATAGTGTTCCGACCCGTCACTCTTGGCAGTCGAACCCTTGAGATTTTGTCTAACCCTTTTAAACACAAATCTAGCGTATTATAACTTATTTTTACAACCGAAATAAATTGTAAAACATTTGTTCTTACACGTTTTATACGTGTTTTTCTTGTTTTAATTGAATACAATTTCAACGACTGAAAATCGTCAAATGCTCTTTTTTGTTGGAAATAAGACTATTTTTTTAATTTTTTTTTTTTAATGGTTTATCTGTTATACGTATATATCGTGTCACCGATGGGTCTTAATAAAAAGTACTTTCAAATTGTGTGGAGGAAAAGAACTTTTTTTTTTTTTTTATAAAATCTAATTTTCAAGTGTTGCGAATGCTGTATTTATTTCTAACCAAATAATAGCAGGTATTGACATGTATTTTAGAATCTCTCCGGAGTGTAGAAATAAATTGGTTTTACAACGATGTTTTTATTTTATTTGTTCGTAAAAAATGTTCTACTTACAATAAGTCTATACCATGAATTGAAGTGTCGCAACTATTTAGATTTTGAATCGCGTTCAGAACGTAACGCATATGCGGTAATTTTCCGGTTTTCACAGTAATTATCCGAAGCACCAACGATTTTGAAATATCCCACGAATTTTTATAACAATATTTTGTTTTATAAAATTAGTATTATTTTAATTTATGATGTGATAATTATTTCGATGATTTGGCTTGTTCAATGTTTATGAAATACTATTGAAAATCGAAATACGGTACATTATTTTCGTTAGGTATACATTTTTAACGCTTTAGAGTGGTGTTTTAGATATTTCTGATGGCATAATTACTCATTAATGATTTTGATATAGACATCTAAAATTCTTTCATAGCGTTAAAATTTGTTAGTAATATTAATGATAACATTAGGTTGATAGGGAATATGAAAGGGTGTACATTTTAATGATGACGATTATCTGACATTAAACATCACGCTTTTCATGAAATTGTTTTTTGACGCATGTTCAGATTTAAATTCAAACAAAGTATTTGACCTGACACTCGGAACCAATAACGCTACCCAACTCGGTGCGATATTTTACATAGGCTTGTTAACACTTGTTATTCCTTGAAAGACTATCAATTCTCTGTATCGCTCACCTTTTGCTTGAAATCCTCTATATGAGATTTTAACAATTTAACGATTGCATTTATTTTTATTTCATCTAAGAAATTAACTATGAACATTAAAACGTTTTAAAAATAAAATTATTGCGAAACAAAAAGAGAAAAAATGTTTTAAATCGTTCGAGAAATTTGAGAAAGAAAAAAAAAACGCTTTAATTAGTTTAAACATTTCAATAATTTTAACTAGTTTAGTTTAAAGTGCGAATGTGTCAATTTCATGAATGTTTTAGCGAGCGCGTAATCTTTCGGAACTATGTAACGTACTATAGAGCGTTGTGTACGGCGACGTATGGATCATGTTGACATAGTCGAATAATTTATAATGGGTTATCAAATTTCTTTAGTTGAGTGTCCTCGTTTTACTTTCCGGTGCGGGACTATTTAACATTATGCATATATACCTGCACATATGTACATACATGCATGAGTGCGTGTGTGTTCGTGAGGATGAAGGAAGAGGTGGTTGGATGGTAGAGTGAGCAGTGGTTCATTATTGCGGATTTTATGCGTCAAGACAAACACGATAGGAATCGTGCGGTGCGAAGGGCTGGTTAGGGGGGCATAAGGTGGTATTGTCGTCAGCCCTAAACATGTTGTTAGGCAAAATTCGTCATAATATGTTTACGTGTACGCGTTCAAAGACAAATCATACTGAACCACATAGTGCCGCAGGTATGCCGGGATGACGTACGGCGGTAGGATGTTGTTATCACGAAGTTGGCGGACGTAATGGCGCGAGTTCCATCGCAGCAATTCTTAACGTTTTTAACGTCACGATTCTCGGAAAAAGTAAAAATACAATAAGTCACATTACGATTCCCTCCTCCCCCCCTCATGGTAATAAAAACTAATTTAAGATTTTATCCGTCATACCACTTACAAAATACACCGTATCGTTGACCGTTAACGAAACAAAAACACGAGTTTTCGAATAGCTAGACAAGTGATGGATGAAGTTTACATCTATAGGCTTTATGATAAAAAACTAAATTTTTCATTTTGACTACTATGTGGTTGTTTATTACTATTTTATTTTCAATGTAAATAAAAGGTTGTTTGTCTATATCAGCGCCGTACAACCTTTTTTGATCCATGACCCTACAGTTAATTTATTTCGATGAGACGATCTTCTTTCCAACTAACGTTAAGTAAGTAAATAATATACTTACTTAATGTACAAAACCATTTGAATTCATATAAATTAAATCGTTAATTTTGGGCAATTTTAATATTTCTTTAATTCAGAAAAAAACAAATAAAAAATATATAAAATTATTTTTATAAAATCTAAAATATAAGTATAAAGTGATATAAAATAATAAACATAACTTTATCAATTGAGTGTCAAATTATAAGCGACCCCCTACTACAATTTGGCAACCCCCTTAGTGGTTGTGACTTCCATGTTGTACAGCACTGGTCATACATCAGCTTTAAATTATTTCTAACGGATGCAATCCCTTCCCCTTCATCTAGTGGTTGGTAACCCACAGATTGAGAAACGTTGTTCTACCACATAGTCGTTTCTTATCTAAACCGGTGACGGTGAGTGCACGCAATCAACCATTTTCCAGTAGACTAAGCAAGAATCTCCTTACAATAACCCATAGGCCAAACCGACCCGTGAACAAGTTTTAACCGACCCCCCCTTCCCAAAGAAAGGTAAAGAATCTAAACATATGAGTACTTATGAGTACTCGTAATATAAAAAAAAAAAGTCAGTATCGCCGACACATGTTAATTATCAGCAGTATCGGCAGTATCATAATTTTGACATTTTATGTGGCTTTCGAATGGATATCGACGCATATCACATTGTGCAAAACCGTTGTCAAAGTTACGCGTACCATTGTGGATAGACTGAATGGATTTTCACTGACATTTAAGATCCATGATTATATCGTATTGTAATCAACACGATTGTTCGTACTTGCATCCACGAATGTAAAAATGGATCAAAAGTTTCTAAACGTTTCGGGGATTTATGAAATCGCACTTGTATTCGCCGTCCGACAACAACCGCTCGGAGTTAGTACGCTGCACTACGACTTGATATTTAACGGTTAAGAATTGTTTTTTTTTTTAAATTTATGCACCTCCGACGAGTATTATTCCTGATTTCTAATAGATTTATATTTTGGAAAACGAATTTTACTGACAATCATTTGTCAATAACATGTCGGTATGTTCTAACTGTTACGATACGTAGCGGAGCTAAAAGTGCTAAATGAGTACTGAATGTGTTAAATGTTTATCAACATTATACAATAGAACAGTACGATTGTTTCGTTGTAGTACTTGGAAATCCCAAAATGTATAATTGATTACAGTCTTTTATTTTGTTCGGGAGACAAACAAAAATCTATTATTCATCAATGGTTTCAAGAAATTACTAGTTAAAGTTTTTTTCATTGTAAATTTTTTAAAGGATTTTTTCGAGCCGAAGGCTTATCATAGTTATTCTAAGCTATCCTGGATAACATTTTCTTATGATTGAAGAATAAAATAAATACGTGATGTCTGAAATGGTCGAGTTACACTGTTTGGTGACTTCGGAAACGAAACGAACGCATTCAATTCACCGTTTACCTCATGTACAATACGATTAAAATAAACATGCATCTGTTATACATTTATTACTATACACTAACTTTTTATCATAGTAAGTAATGAACGGCATACCTATATCACACTCACAATGAGAATAGAGTCTCTGGATCAGGGGTTTTCAATCCACGGCCCACGCTGTCATAATATGCGGCCCGCGATCACATTTTAAATGTTAATCATATTAAAAATAAAATAAAAAAATTGTAATTAAAAAAAAAAAATGTTTATTTATTTATGTTTTAATAATAATAGTCATTTTAAATGTACCCACTTAATTTTAAAAATTGTAAGAATAAAACTGAATTTATATATAAAATACATGTTTTTACTACGGATGGCCCGCAAGGTTAAAAAAAAAAATAAAATATGGCCCGTTGCATAAAAAGGTTGAAAACCCTTGCTCTAGACTTACCTAGGTAGCTAATGATGTAATACGTCTATAATTTAGGTTTACCTCATTCTCCATTGTATAATCCAGAGTTGGGTGAATTTACGTATAAAAGTTTTATACATCATGATGTATATACATATGTATAATACATTTTTATACATGTAGTATAAAAGTATAAAACGTATAAATTGTTTTTCCTATTTTTTCTTTCAAAAAGTATTTAAATTATTATTAAATATTTTTTTATACATACCTAGAGTA